ACTTTTTCTCAAGTGTTTTGTTTTAATTTCCAAGTGGTCGGGTTTTTCACCACACTTTCATTATTAATATCTACCTTTATTCTATTTAGATTAAAGAAGGTGGCTTGTAACATTTTCTTATTTTTCTCTTCAGTTTTTTGAGAAATTTAAAAAAAATATAAACAATATTTATTATAAGAAATATTCATATTCTCACTACCCAGAATTAACTATTACTGATATTTTGCCATATTTGCTTCCACTCTAAAAATGAAATACATTTTTACAAATTTAATTCAAGTTCCCTTTAATCACTATCCTGTATCCTATTCCATTTCCTCTTCCTTATGGGTAACAACTACTGGTGCAATTTTTGTATAAATCACTCAAATATATTTCCATTTTTAAATAATTTTTTTGTGTTTTCAGTGAAGATTTACACAGTTTAGATTCCTATTCAACAATTTCTACACGAGTTGTTCAGCAAGATTGGTTACATTCTTCACAATGCATGAACATTCTCATATTTCCGTTCTGGGTATTCCATTTCCATTAACCTAGTTTCCTTGCCCCTTACATTCTCCTCTTTGTTTTAAAGTTATTGTTGACCTTTGGTCTCATGTAGGTCGCATTTTAAAAGCTCACAGTACCTACGGGTGATATTCATTATTTTCCTTAACCAATTTGATATTTACCTACAAGGTGACCTCCAGGGTTAGTTTTGGTTCAAGTTTTGAGGAGTAACTTGGGACAATAGTCTCGGGGAGTCCTCCAGTCTCAACCAGACCAGTAGATCTTTTTGTTTGTTTGTTTTTAGGAATTTGAGTTTGTGTTCCACATTTTTCTCCTATTCTGTCAGGGTCCATCTATTGTGTCCCTGATCAGAATAGTCAGTAGTGGTAGCCGGGCACCATCTAGTTCTTCTGGTCTCGGGGTAGATGAGGCTGTGGTTCGTGTAGACTATTTGTCCTGTAGACAAGTTTCTTCTTTTAGTCTTTGGTTTCCTTCTTTCTCTTTAGCTCTGTACAGGTAGAGACCGATAATTGTATCTTGGATGGCTGCTCGCAAGCTTTTAAGATCCCAGACACTACTCATGAAACTAGGATTTAGGATATAACTTTGTGAATTATATTATGCCAATTGACTGAGATGTCCCCATGGGACTATGGTTCTAATCCTTCAAACCCAGAAATCCAATCTCTCGAGGTGTTTGGTTATGTCTAAGAAGTATCGATAACTGTGCCCCCTATGTGCTTTATTATATATAGGAACATATGTGCATACAGTCACACAGATGCATATACATATGCATACACCTACACACACACACACACACACACACACACACACACACACATGTATATATATACCCATACATATATACGGAGACTTAGTCGCTCAGTTGTTAAACACTCAGCTGCTAATCAGAAGGTTGGTGGTTCAAACCCACCAGCAGCTGCAAGGGAGAAAGATGTGGCAGTCTGCATCTATAAAGATTTATAGCCTTGGAAACTGTATGGGGTAGTTCTACTCTGTCATATATGTTCACTATGAGTCAGAATCGAATGGAGTCTATGGCAACAAGTTTGGTTTTTCTTGGTTATACACGTATATGCCTACATACATACATATATAGCAGCACATATTTTTTTTGTTGTTTCAAAATTATGTATGCCATAGCAATTACCAACAAGTCCTTTCTTCTTGTGTATTTTTTAGGGATATCGTTTACTTTTGTTAAGCTGTGTATACTTCACCCTCATTTGGTGTTACCTTTCCCCTCACCAAAAATAACAAGTATCTACTATCTATAGAGTGAATTCCCCCTCCCCCTCATCCCTGGTAACCACTAATAAACGTTGGTTTCTGTATATTTACTTGTTCATGTCATTTCATAAAAGTGAGAACATACAGTATTTACTTTTTTGTGATTGGCTTATTTCACTCAACATAATGTCCTCCAGATTCATCCATGTTCCAAGATGTTTTAGAAACTCATTTTTATCACAGAGTAGTATTCCATGGTATGTATGTATCACATTTTACTTATGCATTCATCTATTGATGGACACTTAAGTTGTTTCCATCTTTTTGCTATTGTGAATACCATATTTTTATGCAAATAACACGCACCTTCTGTGTTTGTTTGCTGGACCTGCCCCCCCTCAGGAACCCTCACAAGGGAAGCCATGCCAATCCTCTTCCACATGTTGCTGTAAAAAAAATTAGCATAGCATGCTTTCGAAAATACCTTGAGGGGGGTGTGAGGGGAAGGAGGGCGAGGCTGGCAAAAAACACAGAAGGCACAAGTTATTTGAGTAAAAATGCTATAGTGCTATGGTGAATACAGTTATGCATATGTCTGTTTGTGTCACTTCTATTAGACCTTGAGGGTATATACCTAGGAGTGGAATCGCTGGGTCATATGGCAGCTCTACCTCTAGTTTTCTGAGGAACTACCAGGCTGTTTTTCATGATGGCTGTACCATTTTCCATTCCTACCAGCAATGGATGAGGGTTCCAATTTCTACACCTCTTTTCCAATCTAGTATATTTTTAATAGCTTCACATACACATGAATTCATCTATAAACACCAAGAGTGTTGTTTTTCAAGTGCTAATTAGGTTTCTGAGATGTGTACATATTGATATATTTAAATCTAGTTCATTTCTTTTACTTTCTGTATTCTATTAATCATATTCATCATACTATATTAACCCATTCCCCTATTTATGGACGTTTAGGCACCATATTTTTTTCTTAGTCTTGAGATTTATTAAGGTATCTGTGGCCTAATGACTTTCAAATGTTGTTAAATATTCTTTGGATACTAGTGTAAAAATATTTCTATATGATTGTTATCTCAGAGTTAGATATTTATACATAAATTTGAAATTATTTCTTTTATTATTCAAGTTCCCTTTCTCAGCACCGCTACATCTTTATTTCTCCAACTTGATCTGTAAAGAAGTTAGGTAAATATGTTAATATATGCCACTACAATTTTGTGCCTGCCAATTTCTACCTAATATAGCCTACCCCCCTAAATAACTTTCTGATTTTCAAAAAATTATAAATGCAGTGCATACTTGTAAAAACCATCAGAAAATTAAAAACCTTATTAAAAAGAAAATAAGAATAGTTCATAATTTCAGCACTCAGTAATAAGCATCATTAACATATCAGTGTACGGTTACAGACAAGATCTGTTCTAAGTGTGTTTTTAAGTCCAATTTGTAGATAAGTCAGAACACGTACATATGGTTCTTAATTAGCGTCAGTTAGTGAAATGTTTGTCTTAGTATATAGTACATATTGTACTTTTCTATGCATATAAAACACTTAAAAAACACTTTCAAACCCACAATGTTTTCATGAAGGTCACAAAGTAGTGCCTGCTTTTGTTATTATGAACCACTGTATGTATTTAACTCAAATTTTTAGTATAATAGGCTTTACTGCGGTCACTTCTTAAGTCCGCGTTGTCAGCCATTCTAAAGCGGGACTGCCTGTATAGTGTTTGACTTATTTTTACACATACACATACAGTTTACATACGCAAACTATTCAAACATTTATTTTAAAAGAAAAATATATTGTAATTTTGACATTAAAATGTACATGCTTGTAAAATTTCTAACTATAGAAATATATAAAGTGAAAATAGCCTAGGATCTCCCTATAACTAATGTCTGTTTCACACATAGGATTAAAGATTGTTTATCTCATATAACTAGCCATTTTTAAAAAACATAATGCATATTATTTTATTGTAATATCATAACACATTTGACCAGTTCTGTGTAAAGACACTGATTGTATTTTTTTAATAATAATTTTATATATGTGTATTTTTGCATACTTATCTGATTATTTGCTTAGTCCACGTCTCTAGATGATGCATTTCTAAATAAAGGTGAACACATTTAAAATGTTGACCGTATTTTCAAATAACTGTAAAAGGATTATAACAATTCACAGCATGAAAGTGCATTTTGTCATCTCCCTGACAATGGTAAGGTTTATCATTATTTTTCATCTTTGCCAACATAAGCTAAAAATGGAATCTCATTGTTTTAATATCAATTTCATTGATTGCTAGTGAGTTTGATCATTCTTTTTTATGTCTGTTGTCCATTTGCACTTCTTTTGTAAAACGCAAGCTCTTGGCCAGTCTTCTCTCCTTCCCCCCGTTGGAGGGTGTTCCTCTTTTCCTTCTTGCTTTGTCAGAGTTCTTTATTATTCCTTTTATGTCTTTTGCATAGGCTCTGTTCCATTCAGGCTTTTCATCTTTGATTCCGACTCAGAGCGATCCCATAGGGTTTCCAAGGCTGTAAATCTGTATGGAAGTCAACTGCCAAATCTTTCTCCACTGGAGCAGCCGGTGGTTTCGAACCTCTGACCTTTTGGTTAGCAGTCAAGGCGTTAACCACTGCGCCACCGAGGCTCCTTTTACTGCCTTACAGACTGCTAATACATATTCTCCATTTGTCTTCTAATGTCCTTTACAGACACTTATTTCCTTCTCTCTCTCCCTCCCTCCCCCCTTCCACTCTTCTCTTCTCTCTCTCCCTTTTTCCCCATCTCCTTCCGTCCGTCTCAGCCCCTCTCTCCCCTTTCGTACTGAAGTTTTTAATTTTGACCAAGTCAATTCCAGCAATCTGGGCCTGGCGCCGTCAACAGCGGGGCGGGGAGGCGGGCGCAGAGCTGGGGGAGGGGAAGGGGCGGGGAGGAGCGGGCGGAGCGGCTTGCAGGAGTTGCTGGGAGTGCGCGCGGTCGGATCACAAGGCGGTTGCGGAGGCTCAGAGCCTTAAGCCCGGATATCTCGGCCCACGGCCTACGCCAGCCCTCTCACCACCGGAGGACCAGGAAACCGCAGCCTTCATCTCAGAGGTACGGTGCTAAGCGCTCCCCACACGGCCAGGCCCAGCCTGCTGTGGCGGCGCCTCTTTCCTCCTTCCCTCGCTCTCTCGCTCACCAGCCCGCGCCTTCCCTGCCTGCCTGCGTCACCGCGGCCGCCATGGCTGAGAACGGCGAGAGCAACGGCCCCCCGCACCCCTCCCGCGGCCCTGCTGCGGCCCAAGGCTCGGCTGCTGCCCCGGCCGAACCCAAAATCATCAAAGTCACTGTGAAGACCCCCAAAGAGAAAGAGGAGTTCGCTGTGCCCGAGAATAGCTCGGTCCAGCAGTTTAAGGAAGCGATTTCGAAACGCTTCAAATCCCAAACCGACCAGCTAGTGTTGATTTTTGCCGGAAAAATCTTAAAAGATCAAGATACCTTGATCCAGCACGGCATCCATGATGGACTGACTGTTCACCTTGTCATCAAAAGCCAGAACCGACCTCAGGGCCAGTCCACGCAGCCTAGCAATGCCGCGGGAACTAATACCACCACGGCATCGACTCCCAGGAGTAACTCCACACCGATTTCCACAAATAGCAACCCATTTGGGTTGGGGAACCTGGGAGGACTTGCAAGCCTTAGCAGCCTGGGTTTGAGCTCGACCAACTTCTCTGAGCTCCAGAGCCAGATGCAGCAGCAGCTCATGTCCAGCCCTGAGATGATGATCCAAATCATGGAAAATCCCTTTGTTCAGAGCATGCTTTCGAATCCCGATCTGATGAGGCAGCTCATTATGGCCAATCCGCAGATGCAACAGTTGATTCAGAGAAACCCAGAAATAAGTCACCTGCTTAACAACCCAGATATAATGAGGCAGACCCTCGAAATCGCCAGGAATCCAGCCATGATGCAAGAAATGATGAGAAATCAAGACCTGGCTCTGAGCAATCTCGAAAGCATCCCAGGTGGCTACAATGCTCTAAGGCGCATGTACACTGACATTCAAGAGCCTATGCTAAATGCTGCACAAGAGCAGTTTGGGGGTAATCCGTTTGCCTCGGTGGGGAGCAGTTCCTCCTCTGGGGAGGGTACACAGCCTTCCCGCACAGAAAATCGAGATCCACTACCCAACCCATGGGCGCCACCACCGGCTACTCAGAGTTCTGCGACCACCAGTACGACTACGAGCAGTGGGAGTGGATCTGGCAGTAGCTCCAGCAGTACTACTGGGAACACCGTGGCTGCAGCCAGTTATGTCGCCAGCGTCTTCAGTACCCCGGGAATGCAGAGCCTGCTGCAACAGATAACTGAAAACCCCCAGCTGATCCAGAATATGCTGTCTGCACCCTACATGAGAAGCATGATGCAGTCTCTGAGCCAGAATCCAGATCTGGCTGCACAGATGATGCTGAATAACCCACTGTTTGCTGCAAATCCGCAGCTGCAGGAGCAGATGCGTCCACAACTCCCAGCTTTCCTGCAGCAGATGCAGAATCCAGATACACTGTCAGCCATGTCAAACCCAAGAGCAATGCAAGCTTTAATGCAGATCCAACAGGGGCTACAGACATTAGCCACAGAAGCACCTGGCCTCATTCCAAGCTTCACTCCAGGGGTGGGGGTGGGGGTGCTGGGAACCGCCATAGGCCCGGTAGGCCCAGTCACTCCCATAGGCCCCATAAGCCCCATAGTCCCATTTACCCCCATAGGCCCCATTGGGCCTATAGGACCCACTGGCCCCGCAGGTCCCCCTGGCTCCACTGGCTCCAGCGGCCCTGCTGGCTCTGCTGGCCACACTGGGTCCACGGTGTCTAGCTCTGCACCCAGTGAAACCACGAGTCCAACATCAGAATCTGGACCCAGCCAGCAGTTCATCCAGCAAATGGTGCAGGCTCTGGCTGGAGCAAATACTCCACAGCTGCCAAATCCAGAAGTCAGATTTCAGCAACAACTGGAACAGCTCAACGCAATGGGGTTTTTAAACCGTGAAGCAAACTTGCAGGCCCTTATAGCAACAGGAGGCGACATCAATGCAGCCATTGAGAGGCTGCTGGGCTCCCAGCCATCGTAATTACGTTTCTGTACCTTGAAAAAAATGTATCTTATTTTTGATAATGGCTCTTAAATCTTTAAACACACACACCCCCGTGCTTTACTTTCATTTTAATTCTTTTTAAATCTGTCTAGTTATAAATCTAATATGATGCATTTTAAGGTGGAGTCCCTTCCCTTTCCTTCCCTTCCTTTCTTCCTTCCGTTTCCTTCCTTCTCCATTGTGAATGATGAGAATCAATACTGTTTCGCTCAAAAGTGCTGCATGCAAACACTTCTCTTTACTCTGCATTTATTGTGGTTTTTGGAAACAGGTATCAGCCGTCAGAATTGAGTGAACAAGTTTTGTTCTACAAATGTCCAGTTTATTTGCATTTTAACATTAGTCTATGATAGTAATTTAATGTAGAACGAACATATTAGAAGCAAATTATTTGAAGCACTCTAATTTGTGGTATAATATTGCTTATTGTGAGTTTGGCATGTATTTTTGCTAGCAAAATGCTGTAAGATTTATACCACTTTTTTTGCTATATTTGTACACAGTACAGTAAGCGCAGTTGGAACTGTGCATCTTTTAGAAACATTACAATAGACTGAGCAGAATACATGTAACCAAAATGAGAAAGAATAAAATAAGTATTTCTGAAACTACTTCTCCCAGTTTTGTAGAATCTTACAGCATCTTTGATAAACTCAGTGAAAATGTTGGCTAGGCAAGTTCAGTTAAAATATAGTAGAAATGTTTATTCTGATTATCTGTAAGTATACATTTAATTGTACAGAAAACTTTCAGTGTAACATTGTGTCAGCATTTGCAGATTGTATCTGATCTTAATCTTCGTGCAACCTGAAGGATCAGTGTAGTAATGCCAGGAAAGTGCTTTTTACGTAAGGCTTTTCTTCTCAGCTTCTCCCATAAAGAGACCCTAATATGCATTTTGATTTGTAATTGGAAATATAACTTTCCCTGAAAGTGTCATGTGATGTTTGAATTACTTCTAACTGTTATGTATAAAGGAAACTGTATCTTCTGCCTTTATCAGTTATTTCTCTTGTGCACAGGGAAAATGCATAAAAAATGACTAAAAAAATAATAAAATAATAAAAAAATGGATAAATCTTTTCATTTTTGCCTTCTGGCCTTAGGACCACATTTTGAAGGATTGCCCCACCTCAAGAGTATGTAAATTTTATCCTGTATTTCTTTTTCTAACTTACCATTTTATTTAAAAAAAATTTTGCCATCTGGAATTATTTTGATGTGTCAAACCAGCCTATTGCCATCTAGTTGATTCTGAGTTATAGCGACCCTGTAGGACAGTAGAACTGACCCCATAGGGTTTCCAAGCCTGTAATCTTCACAGACTGCTACATCTTTCTCACTCAGAGTGGCTGGTGGGTTCAAACCACCCACCTTTTGGTTAGCAGCTGAGCGTTTAACCAGTGCACCACCAGGGCCCCTGATGTATAGATTTAGGTATTCTAACTTTTTTTCCCCAAAGGATTAGCCTGTTGTTAGCCAGTAGTTCATCTTCCTCCATTTGAAATTTTATTTGTATATATATGTACATTTAATAAACTTTATATAAAGCGTATATATATATATATACACATACTCCATTCTGTGTTTGTATTCTCTTCAGTATCACTGAACTACCTATTGTAGCTGGAGTACATCAGCCTGTAGTTATTATGTTAGAAGTAGGACTTCATATCTTAAGGCAAGTCCTCCTATTGATTACTTTTTTTTTCATAATTTTCTGATGATCCTGATGTTTATTTTAACAGATAAACTTTACAGTTAATAAATTCCCCCTCCCAAAACAAAAATAAATTGGGAATTTGGTTGAGATTGCCTCAAATTGATATGATGTTGAGAACAGAGTTGCAGTTCTTTCCAGAAACACAGTATGTTGCCTCCTTTTTAAAAAGCTTTTCACATGCTTCAAGAAAGTTTTAAGTCCTGTATAATTTGTGATAAGTGTATTCCTAGGTAATTATGGACACAGAGGAAACACATATTGATACTGCAAGTGGGAGCTCTTAGTGTGTTAGGTATATGGTCATGGTTGGAGAGGAATTTATTCTCATATATTAAAATTAGACTATTAAAATATTAATATAAAATAGTAATTTCAAAGGTATTTAGTTGATCCTTTTGGGTTTTCCTAATAGGCAATCATATCAATGATAAGTTATAATAATATCTTCTTTGTAAAATGTATAACAGTTTCTGACTGCATGGGTTAAAGACTTGCAGAATAGTGCTAAATAATAAAGATGACAGTGGCATCCTTATCTTTTTCTCATTTTAACCAGAATATGTTTGCTGCATCAATTCCAAATTGTGTTTTGTGAAACATTCTTCTGAGAGATGGTCAAGTAATTAAGTTTGAAAAATGCTGTATGCCATAGTCTTTGAGATTTATTGTACAATAAATGTTGGCTAGTATTTTTTTATGAGTAAGTTCTTCAGTTAAAAAAAAGAAAAACTGTTCAACTTTTTAACTCAGCATTTCCCAAACTTATTTGAGTAAAGAACCACTTTTTTTTGTTTTAAACACACCCAGTAACATTTGGCCTACCACTGTTCCTCAGAAAACCAGCTTAGGAAATGGTGATTTATTATTTCACTGCTATATGATGCTGGGTGTTTGAGATAATCACAGAGACAAAGTCTGCCATAATAAATTTTAAAATTTTAATGAAATGGATTTTATAGGAAAATAGTAAAATCAGCCAGAGGCATAAAGAATAGCAATAAGCTGATAACCATAGGCAAAACTGACTGTTGTCTGAGGCCTGGCCCAGTTTAGCAGGTGAATTAATTTCAAACGTTCAAGGAACAGAAGTCTTAATTTGCTTTGCCAAATGTTTAACTATTTTTTAATCTATTTTTGTTTTCTCCCTGAAAAGAGCCAAGTCTTTAATTTATTAATTCTAATGTTTTTCCACTTTCTAGCTCATTAATTTTTGTTTGTAACTTTATTTTGGCCTCTTCTTTATCGCTTTTAACTGCTCTTCCTCCATCCTTTGCATAATGTAGTTTTCACCTATTATGTTCCAGGCTCTTCTTCCAGGCTCTGTTGTTGTTGTTTGGTTTTCTTCATCTACTATTTATCCATGATTTATTCATCAGTGAGTCAAAAAAGGTATCTATAACCTGCTACCCATTCCCTCCAATAAGAGAGTGGAGGTGATTCTCGTATCTTGTCACTGTTTACTTGGTTGTCACCCCTTCCCTAGGCCTACACTGGACAGCTGGGTGGTGTAAGTTTATATTGTTGGCTGTTGGGCCTAGGAGGGTGAGGTAGTAGGGAGTGAGGGCCAAGAGCAACCGCAGTAAGAAGACTTCACTCGTAGGCAGCTTTCCACATTTGTCTTTTGACAGCTACTTCAGGTATGTGCTATATGAACTCTCACAACCTGTGTGTGTGGTTGGGGTGGGGGTGGGGGTTGATATACAACGTTAAAACAAGACCTGCTGCTTTAGTAAAGAAAACTCTTGTATCAAGTGGAGACAACCATGTAAATCACTTCAGGAGACACCTGTGATTGGATTTGGCTGAGCTTGCCCACTGAGAGGGGGCAGCCTGCTCCAAGTGCTATTGATTTTCAGTGTCAAGATAGCAATAAGTGGAATGATTCCTGTCAGAACCTAGCCCAGTGATTGGGGTTAGGGTGTCAGGAGAGCCATTTGGCCTGGGTCTGCAATTTATGAAGGGACTCAAGTTCACACTTTTGACATTATTCCCAAATGTGTTGATAACTCCAGCCATAGAGCCAGACTGACCAGATGGAAAGATGTTCGTACAGCTTCAATGTAAAAATTGTAAATTATGTGGCAATTTTGATAACCCTAATTTGATATTATTTTACTTCAAAAGTATACTGGGAAGCTTAAATAAAATGTAACCTCTAGTAAGAGAGGTTCTCATTCCAGTCTTTTCCATTGCCCGCCCCCACCTCCAGTCTTTGCTTCTTCAAACTAGATAGTGGGTTTCTGCCAGGATTTTCTCGATTTGTCAGGATATCACAGAGTTTTCTCGGTAAAGGTGGTATCCTTCAATATAGCTCCATCAGCATCATGTCTTGCAGATATTCCTTGAACATTGTGCTGCCCTCATGGCTTGTACAGGTTTCCCTCGATTTTTGTTTTCCTGGGACAATTTCTGTTGGTTTGTGGGAGGAACAGCAAAAATTGGAGACCGGTTATGCTGCCGTCTTCCCATAGGTCTGTTAGGAGACTCAGGTAAAAGCAATTTTCTAAAAATAGGAGAAGCATGATTTGGCAGATGTCAGACAGGAGCCACCCCAAAGTGCAAGCTTCATCAGGTGGTGTATGCACTTGCCTATGCTTTCTACACTTTGATGATAGATAAAAACCCTAAACCAACAAATTCAGAAGTTTGGGTAAGCTACCCTTATGAGTTTTTTTTTTTTTTTTTTTTTGGCCCAACATACATATACTGCAGCTCTGGATGTACAGAGGCACCTGAACACAGATCTGGGATCTCTAAAACAGCACTTCCAAAATCCAACTACAGAACTTCTTGATCCAATGTATAAATTAGCAAACTTAAGGTAATTTCAGGAAAAATTCTATAATTCATTATTAAAAGGATACTGATAAACAAGAAAGAAAGAAAAAAAGATGATTACTGAGCCCTAGCATGGATTTCACTAGATTGTCTTGTCAAACTAAATCAATTTTTCTGTTACACTGGGATAACAATAATAGCAAACGTGTATTCACTGTTATGTTCAATTTTCATAACAACCTTGTAGGGTAATGCTGTTATATTCCTCAGTTTACAGATGAGGAAACAGGTTTAAAGAGGTTAAGTAACTTGTCCAGCTTTGCGATTTCAGAGTGCAACCAGGACAATATACTGCCTCCCCATGATTCTGTCTCTTAATCTATCATAGAGATTTTATAATAAATTCATACTAGCTGGCCTTCCAGGTGTTGTTCAGGAGTCACATTAAAAACCCACTGTCGTCAAGTCCATTCTAACTCTTAGCGACCCTATAGGACAGAGTAGAACTGCCCCATAGGGTTTTGAAAGCTGTAAATCTTTACGGGAGCAGACTGCCACATCTTTCTCCCACGGAGTGGCTGGTTGAGTTTGAATTGCCAGCCTTTTGGTTAGCAGCCAAGCATTTAACCACTGCACCACCAGGGCTCCTTAGGAGACACATTAGCTGTTGTTAAACAAATACATCTCTGCTGCTGTTCACCTTGGAGTGGATTATGTATAAGTGCACATGTCAGAAGCTTTGTCACAAATCAATAACTGCAATTTGGAGTTTGCCTTTTTGACTTTCAAGTTTGTGGCTAATACTTAAAACTGCCCTTCAATGCATCTGTCCACAGTGGCCTAATACATATGTCTCCGAATTGGCAATCACATGGGCCACTTGTGCTTCAGCTGCTCTGGAGGATGCCTGTTGTTGAGCGGTCTCCAAGACTCAGAAGGCAATAAACATTGTAAACCTCATGAAAGCATTTGACAGTTTCTTAGAATGTCCTTGAGAATAAAATGGAGTAATATGAGCTAGATAATAATGATAAGACAGTAGGTGGGTTAGTAATTTGAATTAACAGTGTTAAACAATGGATCGATCAACATGCACAGAGGTTTCCAACCTCAGCCCTGTCCCACTGAAGTTATTTTTCAGTGACTAGCATGAAAACAAACGAGAATACTCATCCTATTGCAAATCATATAGGCAGAACAAATGCACTGGATGGGTCTAATATGATCCAAAAAATTCTTAGGAGGCAGAGAAAAAAATAGCCACTTCTGGTAGGATTGTTTGCAGGATCAAATATAAAGTTCTGCACTTAATATCAAAAGTTCAGTTACCAAGGGTAAGTGGTTATATGGTTATTCAATATGAGTCAGCCATGTGAAGTTACAACATGCACACAAATGTAATGAAATGTTAGGCTCTGTTAATAGAGACATGATGTCCAGAACAAGGAAGACCTTAATAATATTTTATTCTCTACTTGATAGTTTATGTTGGGAGATATGGGTCATTTCAGAGTGCCTCAATTAAGACAGACAACCTGGAAAGCGACCAGGATGGTAACTCGTTTGAAAACAGATACAGGAAAGAAATTATTGAAAGGGTCAAGAATGCTTTAGTCTAAAGATTGCAGACTGTAGATGTTTTCTTCAAATAATTGAAGGCCTATCAAGTAGAAGAGGGGTAACATTCACTTGGAGTGGCTCCAGAAGGCAGATCAATTCAGATGTTACAAGAAGTCAGAATTTTGGCCTACTCTTAGAAACAGGTTAGCAGTTGAAGAGGCCCTCCTCACTGGAGCTGTTTAAGCTGAAGCCCACTTGG